CATTCTAATTTTCTTTTTTTTTTAAAAACAATGTTATTATTGTGACATTTACGAACAAACCCAGTTCTTATGAACGCATAGGCATGATAATAATTATTAAATGCAGTGTAAAAAAATCCCCAGTAAAATATCTAATTTTGTATGTTGTTTATTTCACTCACTCAGTATAAATTAAGAATGAATCCCTGCAATGTGAAGACAATGTTAATAAACATTTCTAGCTGCCTCTCAGAAGATCTTGGGAAATTTTTCACGCAAGATTTTTTTTAAAAACCTTTGAAGAATTCGCACATTTGAAAAAATGTGCACATTTTTACGATTTCAGTATTTTTTCTTTTAACAAGCACGATTTAAACAGACGGTTTTCAGCTATTAATTCGAAATAATTTAGAATCCCAACCATTTGTGAGTAGGTAGTTGGCCCTGATAAGTCAAATAATTTCGTTTCTCTTGATTTAATAAAATGAAAAAAAAAATCAAATTGGGTTGTGCTGCCAAAAATTTGCGCTTATCTGCATTCCACCGCTGCCAGTGAGGAGAAACATGCTCACGCCACACAAGGACAAAGCCCTGCATCCTCACTGGCTGCGCCCTCCTGTCTTTGCGCAAAAAGGCTTTATCCTCTCAAACTTAATGCCCGGTTAATTTACAATTTGGATGGACCACTCAGGAACCGTAGGGTTAAATAACTCAACCGTGGCCACCAGCTTTACGCATGACTTCCCCGAGCTTGCAGCTTTCTGTGCCAGTGTCTTGGTGACATCGCTTTGACGCATGGAATACCAAAATCACAGCAATTACGGACACGCGAGCTCGGACCAGTTTTTGTTCTCAGTATTTCCTTTCTTTCTTTCTTTTTTTTAAGAACTAGACGTTAGAAAATGGGAGGTGCGCGCGATTTGGATGGGTTGGCTTGGAGGAAGAGGTGAGGCATTTTTAACATATACCAGAAAAAAGACGCAAATCAGTTACCGGATGCGCATTTTCGTTGCTGTTGCAAACAGTTTGCTCAGTTAAATCAAAATGCGCCAGGGAATGTATTATTCCCAACCAGGTGATTCGTGCGGCTTAAAGATAATGAGTAGGTAATGAGTGGGTTAACGCGCGACTCGAGACAAAAAAAAGGCACGATGTTTAGAATCGAAACGCAGTTTCTTTGTGCGGATTATCCCCCATCCCTTCAAAGAAATGCGCAATTTTCTTTCTTTTTCTCGGTTTTTATAGGTTAATTCAACGACTCACGACCTGGTTTCTCAGAGCTTCATCTTCATGTTTTCAGTTGTATCCAAGCTGCACAGCAGTGACACAACTGGAGCTGGAAATGTTAGAAACCACTTTTTTTTCCAGTCAAAAACGCTCTATATCGAAAATAAAAGAGAGGAGAATTTGTTGCATTTTGCTGCTACGTCTGCCTGCTTTTGTCCTCAATGGTTTCTACAATAACTGAAAAACGGTTTTTTGTTTTTTGTTTTTATATGGTGGCCTCTTTGTGGTAAAAATGTTTTGTTTGAAAAACTGGTCATTTTTCCAGGTACATTTTCTTTGAAACTTTATGGCAGGCTGTGGACTTAATGAAATATTTCTTACCAGTCAGTCTTCTCTACATTTTGGCTTTTTCACCAAAGCTGTATGTTATTTAAATGACACCAATGCTCACATTGCCACTGGGAGAAAACAATAAAGAAAATAAAGTAACAACAACACAAAAAAGCAAATTTGTGATTCCAGAGATAAGAAATGATATGTGAATAAATTCTCATCCTTCTTCTGTCCTTCTATCTCTGCCTTCTCTCCTTCTTCAGGTGCTTAACCTCCCTCCTGCCAGTTCTGCATGGTCATGACCTGTCATCACGCCCCTTCCACAGCCCACCTCATCCTATTGGTCCTGCTCATTGTCATTCCACAGTTAGCTGGCACCGCCCCTGTGTGGGGTGAGGCAGGGGAGGGTGGGGTGGAGGGGCGCACCCGGACAGATCGTAAAGAGGACAACCTTGCCCCCTTTCACTCGCCCCAGCCCCAGAGCCTCTCCAGCCCTGACAACGTGTCCCTAGACTGGGGTCGGGGCCCGGGTCAAGACAGCCAATTAGATAAAGTGACAGACCCTGCGCAGGTGCTTGCGGTTCTGCTTGAGGCCCTGGACCACCTGGGGGACAGTGAAAAACAGGCTAGCAAAAACAGAGACTGGGAAGGGGATCGGAGTCCGGAGCTGCCCTCTGCTGAAGGCTCTGAGGGTGGTGAGATAAGGAGAACAGAGCAGCCACAGGGAGAGAGGGGGGTGGAGGAGGAGAAGGAGGGGCGAGGGGCCGATAAGGCTATTGAACAGCTAAATGTAGGCCATTTGGCAGCTGCTCAGGGGGATGACTTGAAGGAGAGGGAGGGGGAGGAGGATGACAACACAAGGTCGGAGGATCAAGGGTGGTCTGTGAAGAATGTGGGAACAGATAGCGTAAGGGAGGACAAAAAGAAAGATGAAGGAGAGGGGCAGGAGGAGGGAAATTACTCAGAAAGTTTCTTAGATGAGGCCATGCCAGGCTCCACCTCAGAGGGAGATGACCCTTCCCTGCAGCGCAAAATAAGAGGCTACTTCCAGAACATTGACTTGGGTCTCCAAGATAATGAGATCCTGCCTCCTCTGAAGGGCTACAAAGCATACAACACTCAGTTAGCACGTGCAGGAAAGAAGCAGCACTGGCAGGAGAACCCGTCCCGCAACAGACCTGTGAAGGGGGGCAACTTCATGGATGACTTTGAGGATGAAGGAGAGGAGCTGGAGGAGGAGGTTGAGGAAGAAGAGGAGAGCCTCTCCCACATGGAGGAAGAGGCGAGAGCGCGGGCGGAGAAACAGGAGGTGCTCCGGCAGCAGGAGGAGGCCGAGCGAGCCAGAGAGGAAGAGCAGAGGCTGGCAGACATCGCCTCTGACATGTTGCTGCAGTACATGGGGAGGAAGCAGCAGTCCTACATGAAGCCCCGGCAGAAAAGCAGCATGGGGGCCGCCGGCAACACGGCTGAGGACAAACGCTCAGAGGAGGTCCTTCCTGATGAAGATGACCTGGACCAGCAGATGATTGACAGGCTTATTGAGATCAGCAGCAAGCTGCACCTGCCTGCCGATGATGTGATTGAGATTATTAGTGATGTGGAGGAGAAGAAGAAAAAAAGGAAAGAGTTACAACAGCTGCCAACCAACAGCAACCCTGTTGCCCCACGCTTTAGGCCTCTGGTACCTCCTCCTCTGGTTGCCCCACCTGTTTATCACTACACAGCCTCAAAAAACCCCAAGAAAGCCCCTTATAGGTACAACAAGTCCAACAAGAAATGGCACAAGGATAAAGTCAAGTCATACAAGCAGGACTATTGGTATAAGCCTCAGAAGCAGCTTGACTACTGGTATAAGCCCCAGAAACAGTTTTTAGCCTTCCCCTCTTATCCATATTACCAAAAGCCATATCGAGCATACTACCCAGTTTATTTCCCATATCCCAAACCACAATATTATGGCAAGCCCGTCCCCTCCAGAGACCAGACCTTCGGCCCCCAGGAACTTGACCTCCAGGCCCCGAGACGCAGACACAGGGGTGGGGTTAAGAACCGCGGACAAGGCTGGAAGCAGCAGCCACCACCACGCCTGCCTCTTACCCCTTATATCTCTAACTATATCCTTCCTCACCCACGGACCTACCAACCCTTGCCCCCTCCCAAACCGATAACCACACCCAGGAGAGGCAGGCGACCCCCCTACTACTATCCACAAGTCACACCGGGAGATGACTATGAGGAAGATGGGCTGGTGCCTCAGCTGGACAGTGAGGAGGAACTAGAAAACTTTATTGAGAGGATCTACATGAAGCGCAGAATGTATTGAGAGACTTTTTTGGACACTGTCCGCTCAGAGGGACTCACAGATGTGGGATAGTTATACAGTAGCGGGAGAAAAGCTAAAGCAGAGGTGGGGAAAAAAAAGATTCAGAGAAGGTGTGTTTTGAGCCTGATGAGAAATTTCAGAAGTAAAAAGTTAGATTTATGTTGGTTTAATCACTGTATTTTTGTTGATTTTCTCAGTCAGGGAGAGGATGAAGGTGTCCTAGTTTAAGCTCCCTGTAACCATGTTCAGCCTCTTGCTCAGTTTACATTTTGAAACAGAACATACCATGGTGTATGTCTGCCTCCATTCAGGTCAATCTCTGATGTTCTTGCATATTTCAGAGATCTATAGAGGACACACGCAAACACACACACACACACACACACACACACACACACACAC